GAAGGACCAAAATAGGGTTTGACGCAAATAAAGATTTTTTTTTTTTTTTTGTGGCGGCTGTGAAAATAAGTGAGATGTTGAAGAGGTGCCCGAAGCCTGTGTGCAAAAGCCTGCTGTGTCCTGCAGGGAAGATAAAGCTTTGGTTACAAAGATGCTTCTTGTGTACGCACTTTAAAAAAAAAAAAAAGAGAGAGAGAGACTCAAAGTCAATTCAGAAACATGCTCTCACCAGCATTAGGTGTGGTCCTGCTGGTGTCCTGATCTTTCTTGGACTTCCTCCACTTCGCAGTCACCGGCGGAGGAGTGGAACTCGGCCACATAGAGACCCTTATCGATGCTGCCGGGAATGGGTTTGATGTCGGTCACCAGTTGGTCCTCGATGGTCTTAAGGTTGAAGCGGTCTTCCGATGTGATCAGGTTAATGGCCAAACCGAAATGACCGAACCTCCCTGAGAACACAACATTTCTTTCATCAGGTGCACTACAGCAGTGTTTTTCAAACCCTGTGCCGGAGGTAAAATATCCAATTTGTATGCCTGTGTGGTCTATCGCCCAGAAAGTAATTATGTAGTACCCTCCCATACCGCTAGGGAGCAGCAACAGCTAGCCAATTGCCTCGTGTTTCGACCACTAGAGACAAGCGAATTTGTGCCGCATGATGCAGGACGACAGTGAAACAATAAATATGAAAAGATTATAAAATACTTTTTTTCTTTGTGCTCATTTGATTCCAATTCAAGCTGTTATCACGTCATTCTTCAATGTTAAAATCGGTTATAGTAACAATATAACATGTTAATTGTTAGAATAAGCGTTTTTTTCTCTCTCGAATTTTCAGCTAAGTGGTGTGCCGCGAGATTTTTTTTCAATGAAAGAAGTGTGCCTTGGCTCAAAAAAGTTTGAAAAACACTGCACTATAGCATACGATCCAAAATGGCCTTGCAGGTGCATATGAAGGTCAGTGGATCATCGGAACTTTTGCTGGCGGTGGAATGGGGAAGTCTCAAATGTAACTTAGGGTGATATTGACACATGTCGTCATTTTTTTTCAGTACAACTTGTGTTGGGGGATTAAAAAAAAATAAATAAAAATAACTTTCTAGTGAGAGGAAAGGGACTTAAGTCCACCTAACATAACACTCGAAATATAGTGCAGGATTATACTTCACGGGGTAGTAAAAACAATACCTGATCTTCCAATACGATGGAGGTACGTCTCTGCATTCTTTGGAAAGTCAAAGTTGATGACCACGTTCACGGCCTGAATGTCGATACCCCGAGTGAAGAGATCTATTGCAAGGCGGTAACAGTTATTTCAATTGAAATGTCCTCAACTGAGAAATTGTTGAGGAGGAACTTTAAAAGCTTACCGGTACAGACCAGGTTCCTGCACAGTCCGTTTCTGAAGTCATGGAACACACGGTTTCTATATTCCTGCAAAGATAATAACACACACCAAAATCATTTGGCTCCTTTGAGCTTCTTGTGTCATGTGTATTTGTGTTAAAAAAAGAAATAAAAAATGCCAACGGCATCCAGAAATCGACGTTAAGACTAAATTGTGCCAACCTGCATCATCTTAGCGTGGATGTAGAAGCAGGAGTAGCCCAGCTGCGTGATCTTCTTAGCTAAGAGCTCCACCCTCTGCGTGGAGTTGCAGAAGATGATCGACTGGTTGATCTGGAGCTGCATCGGACAGAATCAAAGACAGCACATGTCTCTTCACCTTTTCACCTCCTTAATTGTCTAATCATAAACACCTCCTTAATTGTCTGATCATGAGCTTGTCATCTGCGCACTGCGCCACACGGGACAACTGGCCAGCAGCTCGCTGGAGGCGACAGTGTCAGAGCTGCATAAAGGCAATGCTGATGAATGTTAATGAGAGTATAAGGTTTTAGAATTAAAGATTTAAGTAAAAATGTGCACTATAGTCTTTGTCTCAAATATGTAAAGTATAAACTGTTTCCATATTTTAAACATGCTGGTACCCACCACCCCTTACACAAAAATTCCTAGGGGTGGGTGCAAACCCTATTTTCGGCGGGTTTTTAACCGCGATAAGTGAGGGATCACTGTATACACCTGAGGCCAAAAGTACCTACTTTCATTTAACCCTGTCAATATGACAAAGTTATTCAATTGAGCATTGACACAAAAGGTGCCCATGACGAAGACACGCGAGGTTCAAAACTTTGCATTTGAGCGTTACTCACCCTGGAGAAGAGTGTGTTGAGACAATGCACTTTCTGTCTCTCTGTGACGTAGGCGTAATACTGAGTAATCCCCTTCAGCGTCAGCTCCTCCATCAGGTTGATCTCATACGGTTTCTGCAGGTAGTTGGTCTACAGCAAGCACACAAAAGAGGGAATTGAACAATGGCGACTGAGGGGTAAAAATGCACAGTGACTTGGATTTATTTGCCAGTTGTATTTGTTTTGTGTTTTTAAAGCCGATAAGACATCCAGAAAAATGGTGGCAGGGGAGGGAAAAAAAAATACACTTTGGTAAATGACACTGCAGTAGATGAAGCGTCCAAACTATTAAGCCTGTAAGTGAGTGCAGCACAGCTTTAAGAGAGCATGCAGCGCCAAACAAGACTGGGCACAGAGAATGAACAGCTTGGTTTGCACAGTGAAGCAGCGAGTGCCAACTGGCCGCGAGCCATCAGGCTGGCTGAGTCGTGGCGCAACCGAAGACGACTCACCATGAATTTTTGCACACTGATGGGGAAGGTTGCAGAGTAGAGCAGGATCTGCCTATTCTTGGCCAGGAAGCTAATGATATCTTCGATGAGCACCACAAAATCCTGAGACAGCAGCTTGTCAGCCTGAGAGGAGGGAAAACCATTGAAAGCACAAACAGATTTTGAGGGGTGCATGGAAACGGGGAGGCGAGCGTGTGTTTTGTTCAACACGGTGCACTTACTTCATCCATCACCATCATCTGCACTCGATCCACTCTTGCCACTCCTTTCTGGATCAAATCCAGAATCCTGCCAGGCGTGGCAACGATGACATGCACTATTATGGAAAAGGAAAGACAAATGGGTTGAGTTCGGACACAACAAACAAAGAAACGTGGTGCATCCAAACAGTGGGGATTCAAAAACAAACAAAAAAAAGACTGCTCACCGATCTCATCCAGGCGCATGATGTCATCTCGTAGGTTGGTTCCCCCGGTGGTGGCCATGACTTTGACTCCTCCGAGGTGTTTGCTGATTTGAATGCAGATCTGGCTCACCTGCAGCGCCAACTCTCGAGTTGGCACCACTACCATTGCTACGGGGTACAAATTTGGAAAGTTGAGGGGGTGGGGGGGATTTCTCAATTTTGTAAAAAAACAAAAACAAGGCAGGCATGAGAACTGTTTTGCTCTCACCTTGTATATAGTCCTTTTTAAGGTCTATCCTTTCCAGCAATGGGATGAGATAGGCTCCACTTTTTCCTGTTCCATTCTTTGCCCGAGCCAAAATATCCCTTCCAGACAGCGCAATGGGAATACTCTCCTCCTGCAAAAATGAACTGTGATATAATTCGGGACAATTGCAGCATGAAAAAAACTGTTCTATCCATCTTGTAATATTGCAACCAGAGTGCTGCCGTAGGTTCATGGAGTTGAAATTAACAAACTGTCATCTACAGCTCGGACCAAAAAAATTTTAAAAAAGACTTGAGGTCAACCCATTACAGACAAGCCTATCCTGGATCATAAAAGCGTTTAATGAAACATACCTGCACAGGAGATGGCTTCTCCCAGCCCATCTCGAAAATGCCCATCAGAAGTTCTCTTTTGAGACAATAATCTTCAAATTCATTCCCCTTAGTTGCTGTCACATCCTATGGAAATAGAAAACAGAATACATGTATTGAAGACAACAAGCTTTTTTTAAGTTTGAAAGTTTAAGATGTAAGGTATTTTTCACTCACTGAAGTTTTGACCCTGGTGTCTTTCGGAGGGAGCTGGAGGCTCTTTTTCCAGTCGTCTCCAAACTTAATGGTACCTCTTGCTTGGGAGGCAGTACCTGCTTTCTGGGTGGCACCCAACACTTTTGGTTGAGTTGAGGATCCTGGCTGGACTGAAGCTGGTTTGGTCTGTCCTCTGAGCTGCCCGTTCTGCTTGTTCAGTCCCATGGCAGGCGGGTCAACATTTTCTGTTCTGGCGGTAGCCATTATTGTTTATTTTTATTTTCTTTGCTTTTGTTTAGTCAGATGTTCCTTCGAGGCTATGTTTTTGCCTCTTAGGTTTTTCTGACAAAAATTATCTTCAAAATGTAAAAACAAAAGATTAATAAAGCGTTAACAATGTTTTCTTTTAAGTCAACAGCTTAATAAGCAATCAACTAATGATATTTACATGTGCACACATACGTGCATTTTGGTCCCTTTTAACAAGAGTGACCAAGTATAAGAAACACACACACAAAAAAAAAAAAACACTTTGTACAAAAGAAACTCTTCAAAATGAAGAGATAGTTCCATTAATATACTTGCTCACAATATAGAAAAATTATACGTGAACAAATATTAAATGCAGCTCAAGTCCTGAAATAGAACATCTAAGGCAATCTCTGTACTTTGGGGGATAATTTCTTCAATACAATCTTTGTTCAGAAAATTTGTTTTTACACAGAACAATCCAAACAAAAAAAAATTCGGCCCCTTCTAATCCTCAGTGCGTGTTTGCGTCCTGCCCCAGCTGGTTTCTGCGTGGACACCACACGTCTGGAGGTCAAAGTGTCACTCGTGGGAGTGTGACCGTGATCAAGGGGCTTCCCAATCAAAGCCAGCCAACCACTCAAAATGCGTCACCTGAAAGATGTCCAAACAGAAGGTTTTTGGAATATGCAAAGCACACTAATTCGCCCAGAAAAAAAATCGTTTCCAATTTAGTTTAAGCGCGGACTTTTTTAAAAGTGCCATTAAAGTTATGTTTGTGTCAGCTAAACCATTTGTCGTTATATGCTGCATCGATGTTAACAAATTTAATGTGGCTACTGTTCTTAGACGAATCTGGTTACAAAGCTAACCAGCGCGTGTGTTAGCTTGAAACAAATACAGCAATTAATTTTAGATTTGTGAAGCAGACTTTATGGAGTACGTGAACAAATAAATATTAACATTTTTTCGTTGTCGTTTTCGTGGCAGGCATTACGCTGCTAATTTGTTTTTAACCAACGCAATAAAATGTCTCGGCAAGTCACCTAATTTCGCACACGGCGCTAAAGTTAGCTCCGAGCTAACCAGCTAGCAACAACAGATAAAGGAAGCGGCTCATAAACAGGACAACACTTACCCCGGTTCGCTGTTATTTTTAAAACAAACACAGCATCTCCCGTTGCTCAAAATAAACGATTTAAGCAACACTTTCAGTGACTGAAGTGTACTTCAAATAAATCCCGCCTACTGTTTTTTTCTTTTAAATCAACATGGTCGTTTTCTTCTTCTTCTTCTTCTTCTTCTTCTTCTTCTTCGTCTTCTCTTCCTCGTCATCTTAGCTCTTGCTTCTGTTTTTCGTTTGAGTCATTACGACGCTACTGACACCTGCTGTCAAAGCAGAATACTGGAAGCATCACGGGGAAATAAAAAGTAACTTTCACAAGATTGCCAAATGAGCACACAAGAATTTCGCATTTTTTGATTTAATAAGGCTTTAAATATTACACTGTAATAAATATTAAATATGTACAGTCCATCACATTACATGCATTGTGATTTCCACAAAATTGTTCACATATTACATAATGAAATAATGACTCCGTAAACTATTTTGTGTTTAAGTAAACCATTAATCCACAAATGTTTGAAAAGCGAGTGTCCGTTCAAAGTACTGTACATACAGTACATATCTTAAAAAGGCACTAAAAATCCGTCAACTACAACATTTACACGACACCAAACAGAACCTGCAATTCTGTCAAACGCTAACAATGGGGAAACACAACAAATTGTGTTGCCATTGTTGATGATAAAACTAATGAGAAAAAAAACTCCTATGAAACTGCTCAGTGACTGACAGAAGAAACTTTTGGACATGAATTTAAATTTCACTCTTAAAAAAAGAATTGTAAATGGATTCTTTTCATTTCTTCCTTCTGAAAAGACTCCTAAAAATAAGTGAATCGCAGTAATGTATCGAGTAATTAATATCTTCTAGTTTCCTTGCTGAAAAATCTCGCTTATTTTCTCCAGGCAGACTTCTGCGGCCAGTTCTGTCTCTTTCGAGAGCTGAGACAGGCTGAGGAAGCCGTGCGGAAGGTCCTCTACCACTGTCAAGCTTACAGGCTGGCCCATGTCCCGCAGCTTCTTGGCGAACATCACAGAGTCATCCAGTAAAGCATCCAGAGCACAGGCCTGTGTGGAAACACGCACAGGTCAGGAAACAAAATCAAGTCAACTTGCTGCGGTAAGCGAAGTAAATAAGGGGAAGCAAAACATTTTTTAAAATCACTTCTGGACCCTCTTCGCAATGCTGCCAACTGAAAATATTATTTGAAAGGGGTTTCTCTATGCCTCCTTTCCCTACCCCCTGCAAACGTAATATTTTGATTTGAAATCAATTCAAGTCGCTAACGATGATATCAAGCTAAAAATGACAAACATGAAAAAGAAGAAAAAGACTGTCGATAAATGATATGTGGCGACGTCACATCCATTCAAAGTACCCCATGAATGGAATGGCGATGCCAAGCGAGCTGGCTGCTTTCAAACTCGGCCTAAAATCTGCTACGTACCTTCCGCTGAGAAATGAATTGTCAGACGAGAGGCACAATGCTCTCGAAAATAACGGATGCGGTATTGTTCACAAAAAGGGAATGCGGAAGTTGTGTCTCTCACCACTAAGTGAACAGGCGGCAGACCTCGTAGAAGGCTGTCGGGCGCAAGCAGCGGCGACACAAAAGGATTCCTGATGATCGGGCAGGATGTCGGCTGAACGACTGCATGGCATTCGGAGCGCAGGGGCTCAAAGCCCTCTGGGTAATCCAGGTAACATTGGGAGTGAAGAGGTGAGGTATGGTTTAAATTCCTATGTGTGTCTCTGCTTGTGGATTCTCTGTGTCTTGATGCTCGTGAGTAGGCTCCGCTTGTGGGCCACATAGGCTGGAGAAAGGACTGGATCCAGTTGGAGGCTCCCTGGGTGAGATCACTGAGCAGTGCGGTTGTGTCCCTCCCCAGAGCCCTGAGACTGTTGCCTCCCACGGCAGGCAGTGCAGTCTGAGAGTCCACACCTAGGGGTAGAGGAGTGGTAGGATGCGATTAAAAAAAAAAAAAAAGCAACAAATCATAAATCATGGTACATATTTTACATAAGTGAAAGCAAAGATTATATAATTACCCTCATCCTACCATGGTACACCTCATGTCCATTTACCCAGTTTGCACACAAATATATTGTCCATTTTGTTTTCAGGCATCATCATTAAGCCCTCTCGGGTTAAATGACGTGTGAAAGAACACGCGTCTAATGCCGCACGGACCTACCGGCATAGGCGTTGAGGCACTTTGCAAGAGCACCAAAGGGTAACAGCGGGTCAATGAGCGTGAGCAAGCGGGAAGGCGAGGCGTCCGTGGTGAGCAAGGTGGCGGGGTAGGCCGCCATGATGCCGTCGGGGACTCGGATGCCACACGTCATGGCCTTCATGGACACGGTGATGCAGAGGTTGCCGCCGGCGCTGTCTCCTGCCAGACAGACGAGCTCGGCTGTCGAACCTGGAACACAAACATCGGGAGTTTATTTTGACAAATGAACATATATGAGAGAGAAAGAGAGCGAGGCATCAAGATGTACACCACTGGCACTGTACTAAGTACTGAGTGAGTTTTAATAATAGTTTCATCATGAGTTGGGCAAGAATCAAAAACTAATCATGAATGAAAGAGAACTTCTCAAGACTCTTGTTTCCAGGGATGACGGGCGTCATTTACTAACCAAGCAGATGGCAGTTTTTCAAGGCCCAGCAGTAAGCGTAGAAACATTCCTCAAGAGCCCGAGGAAAGGGTGCTTCGGGTGACAGAGAGTAGTCAACAGAAAGAACAGGGACATTCAATCGCTTCGACCAGCTTCGCAGATAATTCTGACACAAAAGAAGACACAGGAAGGTTTGAGACGGACAAATGAAGTGGTACGCTACACGTCGGGGGAATCGAAATGAAATCGTGAGGCGCTGTACCTCATGGGATCTGGATGTCTGCGCCACAAAGCCTCCTCCGTGGAAGTGAATCAGCAACCACGGGGAGAGGGGTTGCTTCTGCACCCAGGGGAGATTGGAAGCAGAGACAGAGGGCGGATCGCCGCGAGAAAAAGACAAGAGCTCCTCGCTGTCCTGCAAAATAATAAAAGACGCAAAAGCTGCGCTCGCTTTCAGGGTGTTGAAGCCATCAACGAACAAGAAAAGTCCCACAGTGACAGTGTCTTTGTTTTTTTTTGTTTTTTTTAAATCCATGCCATTTTTCACCTGCCCTTGTCGAATCTCGTGGGAGATGAGGCGCATGTGGACTGGGCCAGGGCCCCAGTGGGCCAGCGGAGGTGACACGGTAGTCGACAGATTTGGGTCCGATGCCAGTGGGAGGCGTAACGGAACCGGAGGTATCGTTAGTGTGAGGTTCAACTGGACGGGGTAGGAGGCTATTCTACACAAGCCCTGAAGAGAGAACCGGAGCAAAACAGGAAATACATTGAAACTCTCACTTGGACTTCAGGTTTAAAAAAAAAACAAAAAAAAAAAAACAACAATACTCGGAACAATAAGGATGAAAACATGTGACCCTGCCTACTGTTAAAAGCTCGGACTCTGTGATGTTCCAGAAGGATTTCCAAAACTGCATATCCAGGTTCTGAGTAATGCGTTCGAATTCGGCGCCGCGCAACTCTGGATCAATGACGTACTTCCCTGATGTGAGCAGAGACAGGGCGGCTAAACCTGACAAAAGAAGACAAATCAGGAAAGACATGAGCGCATTGAAGATGGACCGTTGTACAGAAACGTATCGGAGGTCAGGACCAAGACTCACCCAGCCCGGACTGCTGTTTACTATAAGTTTCACCATATGAGATCATGCTAATGACAATCGTCTGAAGGAACGGACGAAGACTCGGCGAGAACTGTCCAAGGGAAACAATGCAAGAGTTTTGCTTCAAAAACGTGCGAGCGAAACATTTCTTCAAATCAATTCCGTAAGTCTGAAGATTGGTAAACATCTTCGCGGAAGTGTGAATTTGTCGCCGGCAGACCTGAAAGCCCAGACAGCGGCCATAGAAACAGGCTTTGTGCATGGAGCTGTACTCCTGCACGTATCTGTGGCTCAGGTCGAGGTCCTGCAGGGAGTACAGCTGGCCAAAATCGTTGTCATTGATCAGCCGCTTGGCGAGGTAGAGCAGCGCTCGCAGTTGGCAAAGGGCGCTGCAGTAGGCCTCCATCTCGGAGGCGTTGTGGTCCGCTCTGAAGAAGGCGCTCTTGTGATTCGAGGCAATGTAGCGAGCCTTGTGTAGGATGTGCAAAAGACACGACTGCAACACCTGAAAGTCGCATATGAAAAAAGAGGCGATAGGATTGACTTTCCCATTTGGCATCAAATGACATTTATTTCCATACCTTGATCAGGGTGCGATACCCATTTCCAGGCGTTTGCGCGTCAAAGTCGTAATGGTGGTAGACGGCGATGAAGCTGCCGATCAAAGGCTCGATGGCTCGAGCGTGTTCTTGAATCTTTTTCATGCACATCACCAAGCGTTGGGTCACGGGGCCGTGCACAAGATCGGCAGCGGCGTCAGAAAAAGTGGAAATAATTTCTTTACACGCGGCCTCCAAGGCTGAAAACGCAACCTTGAAATCCATGCCGGAGGCTGCGGATCAGAGAGAGACAAGAGAAGCTAATAAAACTTTAGCCTCATTTATATGCGTCTTTCGAGCTTGAGGTAACGTCACGTGATCACTGTGTGTCTTGGAAAAAGTCGGGCTGTTAACCTTTGGGTGAAAACACACGACTTTAATGATCTTTTTGACAGCAACAAGTCACTTCTTGGTTTTTGACAATAGAGTTGTTATCTTGTGAAGCTGGAGGGAAGCACTTTGGAACGAGGCCATTATTTGCTGACCCAAGGGGAACTAGCATCACACTTTGTTTTAGATTTTTGAAACAAATTTCATGTCCGAATGATGCTAGCAAAACAAACACTTCATATGTTTTGGATTTTAGAGCATTAGTCAGAAAAATAATGTGAACCTTGAACTGTAGGTATTTGATTCATATACTTTATTTATAATAGTAAGTGTGTCATGTAAAAAAAAAAACAAACACACAAACAAAAAAACCCTCACTGTCGTCTGTCATGGAACTGGATGAAAAATAAAATATAGTTTTTGAAGGTGCTGTACTCATGAGTCTGGAGAAGACCATTAAATGTTTCCAAGAGCACTTGATGACATAACACTTGGTTTGATGGGTTCACCGGTCAACAATTTTAACTGCATTTTTTCCCCAGTGATGTAACGAAATGATTTTTACGCTGAATCCGAATCTGCCCTCGTTTTTTTCTCTCGAACATCGGGTTATATAATATGTCATATATTTAGTAATTGCATTGCACTAGCTTTTATAGGTCAAACATAAAAATGAATATATCTTGAAAGCCTAATGCGCAAGAACAAAGGGCAGCCTTGAAATCCACATCAAAAGTACAGTTACATCAAGTCATCTCTGATTAAAATTTGCTATTGGCTAGTGTAATTTTCTTGACTAATCAATTTATTGATGAAAGTATGCACACTGAAAGGAGAAACAAACAGAACTTGAGGATAACACGTTTCCTGTGAACCTATGACCAAATGTTTCAAATACACTTTGCTCAAAAATTATTGTGACCCAGTTTAACCAATTCACTGTGTCAAAAGAGAAGCAACTTGAAAAAAAAAACACGCACACAACAACAACAACAACCACCTCAGTTTAATTTCACTTGTCTAATTCTTGTTCTATCTCTCGGATCTTTCCAGCAAAACGCCCTTTGACCTCAAACTCATTGTCAGAGCCCGATATCACTTTCCGTTCTCACCTGTTTTTCTCACGTGTCAACCACATGAGCAAGAAGCATTCCCGGGTCGACTTTTTTTTTTCTCGATTACTTTGTCTCGAAAACACAATCACAATGCACCAAGCATGTTAACCAACACTTCCACCACCAGATGAGGAAGCCTGTTGCATGGAGCGAAAACTTTGCCGGCTGCCCGGATCAACAAGTTGTTTCATAACGAAGGCATGTACAACACCGGAAGGAAGCAACCCCATCACGTCTGTGTCAAGACGTTCCATTTCCGAACCGGCTTTGGTTGGAGAAATGAGCTGAAGTTTGGTTTGACTTACCGATAGCGACAGGCATCCCTGTTTGTTCCTCCTCAACGGGGAGTCGGTGTGCTACAGCTCGCCCAGGGAATTCTGGGTAACGTCATGTGAGCTCCCTCCCAGCTAGCATAACAAACCGCTAACCCAGATGTCGCCAAGGCATTACTTACTGGATTATCATCGCCATCAAAACTCACGACAATCAGACACACTTGACGATATATTTGACGACCGCTCCGACTACTGCTAATAACACCGAACAACATTTTTTTTTTACAAAATATTTTAATCAGTGATGCAAGTAAACTTTTCTACAAATGTTGTTTACACTGATTACACTGATTCCGTGCACATCAGGTTTACATCATCGTAAGAATACGTCATATAATAATAATAATAATAATAATAATAACAATAATAATAATAATAATAATAATGACTAAATTAATAGTAAGAGAAAGTAATAATAATATGTTAGATAATAATAATAATAATAATAATAATAATAATTATTATTATTATAGTAAAGTAATACTGTAGTAAGAAGATGTCATATAATATATTATTATTATTATTATTATTGTCAAGTAATAGTAAAAATCTGTGATATAACAATAATAATAATAATTCCATCCATCCATCCATCCGTTTTCCGATCTGCTTATCCTCACAAGTGTCGCGGGAGGTGCTGGGGCCTATCCCAGCCGTCTTCGGGCAGTAGGCGGGGGACACCCTGAACTGGTTGCCAGCCAATTGCAGGGCACATAAAGACAACCATCCGAACTTACATTCACACCTAAGGAAAATTTAGAGTCTTTAATTCACCAAGCACATTTTTGGGCTATGGTAGAGGAAACCAGAGCACCTGCAGAAAATTCACACAAGCACGAGGATGACATGAAAATCCATGCAGGGAGTCCGTACCCCGGGTTCAAACTGCCAAACTGTAGAGCTGTGAGGTATATTTGGCCCAAATAATAATCACAATCATAAACCATGTAAGGGAGAATGATTGATTCAACTGCATCAATTTTTCCCGTCGAGCATCTGACTATTCTATCTTGCGTAAACAGTATGCACTTGTATGCCAGCTCATTCAAATGACATCCAATACAAAAGCTGTACTGTATTCTAAATTCTGCCTTCAGAAATATGATTATGCTCACTTTTAAATAGCACTATTAAAGGTCATGAATGACTTTATCAAATCCAAATCTGAAATGACATCACTGCATGATTTATAATAGCCGAGTGCATTCAAATGACATATTTTTTAAATTCTGCTCTGGTGTCATTGACTTCATCCAAATGACCAAAGATTCAATCCGAGCGAAAGGATTACATTTGAAGATTATACTTGATGGTGTGCATTTCAAAGGTCACCTTAATGAGCTTGGTGTTGCTTCAACATGACAATGACTGAAACTGTCAACTTGTAAACACAGGCCTCCATTTCGACTGGTCTCCATGCAGGTGGCAGCCCGTCCAACAAACGCTACTCAAGAATTTGACACTGTCAACAAAGTAAGGGAGACCTTTCCTCATCCGATGCATGAAGGTTTGGAGGAAATTCCTTTTCATTTATTCAACCAAGTTCCGCGCAAATACTGTCCCTCAACTCATTACGTTTAAAGATTAACAATAATTACAGTTATCTTGATTAGTCCCGGAGGAGAAAAATGGTTGTCCAGGATTGTTTTCTCAATAAAAAAATAGTAATGGTACTTTCTCGGGCAAACGGTAAATCAATTACAGATACAGGAAGTAGTTCTTCAGGAAGTTGGGACATTCCATCTATATTCCACGAATTCCAACAACAGTATATCAGAGAGCAGCTGCTGTTTTGTCGGCCAATGTGATTCAGCCTTTTTCCTTCCTCACGATGATTTGTGGTTGGTTTGCCAAGCAACGTTTACTTGGTTACAGGTACTTGAGTAACTTTTTGGATCAATTGTACATGTTGGAATAGATTTAATAGTTTATTTGAATCTAGGTCAGCGCATGCAACATGTAACGCACTCCCGAATAAAACCAGCTGTTCAACCACAGCATGTGTATGCAAATGACATTTCGTACAACGTCATCGTACATGTTTGAACTGTCTCTCTGTAGAAAGGATCGTGCATGCGCAAAAGGAGAAGGAAGAACGGCAATTAGCAATGTGCGAGCAACATGGAAGACGTACATTGGCAGAACGTAAATCGCTTTCGAGTAATGCAACACGTGTCAGCAGAGAAAATTGCCTGACCACTCTTTGCATCATTTGCGGATTTGTGGTCGGTTAACATTTCTTCGTGACTCTCTGTACTCATGTGATGATGTGCTAAATGTACATTTTTCTGATTGTGGCTTGTTTGCTAGAGTGGCTCCAACGACCAAAAACAAATTCCTTGAGTGTGTTTTAACATACAAGTCAAATAAAGATGAAAAAAAATCTATACATATATTATGGCTTCAACCCTTTGAGGGAAACCAAAAACAAATATCTTGAGTGTGTTTTAACATACAAGTCAAGTAAAGATGAAAAAAAATTCTATACATATATTATGGCTTTAACCCTTTGAGGGACAGCGGTTACTACAGTGGACAGCTTATCATGTTATTATTCTGTCCAACGTGTTACTAGCTCTGACTTAACCTCAGAGGTTAAAACAATCGCCTGATGACCTCTGACCCCAGACCCACATTTTTCTCTGCAGGTCAACAATCGCTGCAATCGAGTTGACTCATAAACTGTCAACAGAGGAGGCGTGCTAACAGCGTCCCGTTGCCCAGCCAGTACGATGATGAAAGAGAACACCAGCATGGAACTGAGTGTGCCGCTCTCCGCATGGCTGGATATCTTTGACTTGAGTTTGATGTAAGTTGGCTGTCTGAATGATATTCCTCCACCATGCGCTGGCATGTAAGCGCACATACAGTTCATCCACCGCATTTTTTTTTCTTGAATTCACTACCTTTTCATTCATCAGCCTTCTCAGAAGTTATAAATGAAATAAATGGTCGAGCAGGAAAAGAGTAGCAGTCGTAGACTCTCGATGGCAATAAAATTTATATGACAGGATTTCATCAAGTTGTACTTATCACTTAGCAAATCGTTGCACGTGCAGGAAACAGCAGGAAACAAATATTGCAATTTTTATCTTGAAACAACCTTCCCGGTGGGGATTTTATGTGTTTGATTTGTATTTTTGGAACACTGTTGTGCAATATTGGATTTCTGTTCTCTTTTTCCTCAACTGCGGGTTCCTTGCAACCTCAAGCGAATGGTCTAACGAAAACTGATTCGAACCAGAAAATAGGATTTGCTTACAAAGAGTCGAATTGAATCGAACCAAATGGCATCATTCCACTTTTAATTATTTTTTTTATTGGAGATGAACACAATTGGAAGGGCAAGGTCAATTCATTTGGGTTTCTGAACAAGAGATGAAAATGAGACAAAAGTTTAGCTTTTATTTTATGGTATTTCCATCTTGATGTCTTCAGCAGCAAGTATTTTTTTATTATTCGGTCTGGAATCTGTTTAACACCGATTAACACAGAGTCTTTAACACAGAGTAAAGCAAAACTTATCGCATATAAAATAGGAAGCCAAATGACACACTATAAAAAGTGGCCGAGTGGAGCATTTTTAGATTTCTCCAACAAACTGGATTTTATTTCCCAAACTTGGAAGTTATAACAATTTTGTTTTTGTTTTTGGAACAAATCAAGCTACGAGTCTTTTCCAAAAATAGACATGCAATAAATCTCACACAAAGAAGGGAATTCAGACATGTAGGCAACTTCAAAGTCCGGTTTAAAATAGTAGTTAAGTTATACAGTAACTTAACAACTATAACATGAAGTGAAAGAAGCATATAAAGCGTCTGTGGCAATAAAGGAGCGATGAAGGCACAGAATCTTCTGTCGAACGAAGTGGATGAACTCGCTGAGCCAGGAAGAAAGTGGGAGGAGACAGACAAGCATCAGGTTGGGCTGAGGCTCACCTGCTGTAAAAAAAAAAAAAAAAAAAAGCAGGATCCTTGACTGACTGCTGAGCCACAGGGGACGGCCACCGTGCTCATGCCAGATAAAGATGTGGACGTATGCATGAGAGCAAAGTGAAAGACGGCTGAACTTCAAGCAGGAGACACCAGAGACAATACAGAGAACCAACCCTGTGCTTCACTTTTGAAACTTTGTTTTGAGATCGAAACAATAAAAACGGCATGGCAACCCTGAGGCGGATAACACTTTTACTTTGTGTGTTATTGATGGTTTCCCAAGGACGCAGCCTGCCCGGCGCGGCCCGCTCCGAACACAACGGACATGAGACTGAAACGAGCAGTGATCACGGGACGACCTCCTCAAGTCCCCACACAGAGACGGGCGATGTGACGGATTCTGGTCATGATGTGACGGGAGACAGTCACGGTGAAGGTGGGGGTCACGGTGGTGGGCCCATCACCACTTTGCCGATTGTCTCCTGGAGGTGGAGTCACGTCTCTGTCCCGTACTTGGTGGCTCTGTGGATTCTGGTCTCCTGGATCTGCAAACTCAGTGAGTCAGTTTGAATGTCCGCTGTGTGATAAAATAAGGTGAAAGGAAGGTAACGCAGCGATGAGAACATTTTAGTGGTGAGAAGTAACCATGTAACAAATGCTTCATTGTTGTACTTAGGTCAAATGTTCAGGTATCTTGACTTTACTTGAGCATTGTTTTGTCTCCTTTTACTTTTATTCGCTTTATTTTATTTTTTTTGAGAAAAGAAAAAAAAATCTGTAATTTCCATTCCTTAATTTGACAAATCACTCTTGTTACTTCTTTTAACCCTTTCATGCACCCTGTAACCTGAAAACATGATAAGCTGTCCACTGAAGCAACCGCCGTCCCCGAAAGGGTTAAATTTCCACGGATGACAATCTGACAAACTGTAAAATAGATTTAAGGAGAGTGGCATAAAATCTACTTGAGGCGGAACGATTAATCGACAACTAATCCATTATCAAATTAATCGATTTTAAAAAATCTAATATTGTTCAAACGCCCAGAATTTCCGTTTCCTGACAATAAATATACCGGTAGTCCGATTTCTGTAGTCCACCATGACATCTTTGTGTTGAGTCAAAA